AAAGAAGAAAATAAAAAGTGAGGGAGGAGAAGCCTGAGGATTAGTGCCTAATCAAAAATTGGTTCTACATTTGATCTTTTTAAAGTATAAGACTTCAGAAAATCTTAAGCTTATAGATATAATAGTACATATAATTATTCTTAATAAAAATTTTTAAGTGGAGATAATAAAATAACTAAATTCTAAATTTGAATGTCTTACAATATTTCTGAATTAGATAAGAACTCATATTTTCATCTTTCTTAACATTAAAAATTTATAAACTTTAAGTTGGTCTCATTTACTGAATATTTTTTTCTAAATTGGACTATTATATTTCTAAATCTAAATTATAGCAACTCCTAATGAAACTCATATACATATCATACATATTTAGTTTTTAAAGATTGAAGTGTCACTTGAGGATAAATAGCATTTTATGTTTGGGGGATTTTGTACGCCTAAAATATATAGTATTTTTAGACACATTTTTATACCTATTTATGAGATATTGTGCTTTAATTGAAAGTATTTTTATATTTTTCTTTTAGGTATAGATAAAAAGGTGAAAAATTCTTAAAGGAGTGAAAAAGGATGAAATTTGGAGCAAATAAGTGAAAAATGTACAAAAGTGTTTTGGCGCCTAAGCGTCAGATACGACACTTAAGTGTCGGTTAAACAGAGAAGGCCGTGCCTAAGCCCCCGAGGTTCTGCGCTTAAGCACCAATGGCAGTTATTGGATGAGTAAATTTAGTTTTTTGTAAATTTTGAAGAGGTTTTTGAGGCACCTATTGGTTTAATAGGTGATTACAACCACCATGGATGAAAATTATTACAAAAGGATGCATCTCTTGGGGAAATACATCAAATCAAGACACATTTTGAAGAGATACCAAGGCATATTTTGGAGAATTATAAAAGAAAGAAGATTGAGACTCTTAAAGGGGTCATGAAGGTACTGGGAAAGTTTTGAAAGTTCTAAAATTGGGGAGTTAGTTGGAGAGATATTCAGGCACCATATATTTATCCTTTTTTAGTTTTATATTGAGAGTGTTGTAAAAGAGATGAGATTCAAAGGAACTTCAAGATTTTGGTGGAGGACTTGAGATAAGCTTTTATCTTTTATTTTAGACTATTTTTGGTTTTAATTGAGACTTATTTTTGGTTTCACAATGATTTCTACTTTTAAACTAAAGTGTTATTTTGTTTTCTTCATGGATTCTGAGTAGTTTTCTTTATCTTTCTTCTTAAAATGATAAGTAATTAAATGTTGGATGAAAGTTGTGGAGAGTGTTGATTTTTAATGTTAGAAGAAGTTGTGATTATTTAAATCCATGTACTTCATTTACTTCTTAATTTGACCAATTCAGATGTTAAAATTTATTTTGAGAATATGTAAAAAATGAGCTGGTATTGTCTTAGTGAACAATTGGAAAGAATCACATGAGGTTGTATGAATGAGAATGTAGTTCATATGATTGAGTGCAAATAAATAGGGAAATATTCATTGAAGGGTGTAGAGTTAGAGGAATTTAAAGTGAC